CCCCAAAACCCCAAAACCCCAAAACCCCAAAGGTATCATCTTGAGGTAGAAATAAGATTTACAAATTTATTGCATGTAATTAATAAGTTTAACATTTTTTACTAATAATTCTCTAGCATGTATCATTCATCATAGGGATAGATAACTCCGCCAGCTGGAACATTATAAACTACTCTTGTAGGTCTAACGTAAACTGGACCATCAAAGTATTGTTGGACTTGAGGTTATTATTATTATTGCTATTATTCCTCATAATATTTAGCTTGAGCAGCTGCAGCTCTTCCTTACTCAATTTGAGAGTATATACCAGCACCGGCTTATCCAAGTCCAGATATAATTTATGATGCCATATTAGCAATTTCCATTGGGTGAAGGGAAGATGAGGATTTCTTTCCAGATGATAATGGATGGCTGGTTGATGTTGGTGGTCTTCTGAAAGTTGGAGTAGATTATCTTCTAAATGACGAAGGTCTTCTTAATGATGAAAAATGAGATCTAAGACCTCTGAATAGAGGGGTTTCAACTTCAATATCTTCTTCATCATAATCATTCATGTATTGAGCCTGAACATTAGGGTGAACAGTATTGTAAATTCCAAGACCAATACCTGTAAGATCACCAGCTATTCCAGTAAGCTCCCCTAGACCACTCAGGAAACCTTCAACTTATGGTTGCTCAATAGTTTGATAAATTCCAAGCCCCATACCAGTGAGATCGCCAGCAATACCTGTGAGCTCACCAAGACCACTTAGGAAGAAGCCCTCAACTTTGGGAGTAGAATCGACTGAACTTGATCTTTTTCTGTGTCCAATACTTTGAAGTTAGTTTTTGATGAGTTAAACATCATGTTCAGCAGCTTCAAGGCCGTGGAGGAGACCATCAACAACTTTTTCTTCAAGTGTTAATTAAGTGGCAGCTGTGGTTCCTACTAAGATAGCTCCTGCAATGGTGATAAACTTCTTCATTTTAGATTTTAAGATATTATTTTAATTAGAATCCTGAAATAAGAGGATCTTAAATACTATTCTTTTTATAATAATAAATATCTTATTATGAATAGAAACTTTATAAATAATCTGATTTTATATTTGATAATTAGCTCTTGGGGTTTTGGGGTTTTGGGG